ACAACAGCATCACCATCAGGGTTGAAAGGGATAAACGCTTTATTGAGAATGATGAGCTTCTCACCTGGGCTGGGTTCCCTTCCCCGCCAAGCAGTGGGCGAGGAACAGTGGGCGAGGAACTGGCTGCGTGCGGAGAGGCCACCTGGGAGAGGCCCGTGGGCTGGGCAGGGTGCCTGAGCCTTCCTCCCTCAGGGCTCAGCCTCCCAGAGCCGGGCCCTCCAACAACGGGGACCTCGCAGAGCCTGTTTCCACATTTAAGCAGAGTGGCAGCCCTGCAGGCGGACTGGCCAGAAGCCTAGTAGAGCCTCTTCTCTTGGCCTTGTTTCCTGCGCCCCTCAAGGCCCTGGTGCTCAGACCAGCCCTGGGGGACAGGCTAGAGCAGTGTGAGGCTGGCGGGGCTCCAGCAGCTAGCGGTGCCCCAGAGGAGGCAAGTGTCCCCTGAGGGGGCAGGAGGTCATGCTGTGGGCAGAGGTGTCCTGGAGGAGAGCACCTGCAGGGCGGCCACCACAGGGCAGAGGTTTACGGAGTGGGCTCAGGGCCTAGCGCCCTCCCCCAGCACCACCCTTCCCTGCGACACAGCCGGTGCGGGTGAAGCTGCAGGCGTGGGGGTTGGCACCGTGATGCGAGATGGGAGAAGGCAGCCTGGGCTGTCCCGCCTGTGGGCGGTGGCTGGTGCCTGAGCATCACCCTCTGTCCTCCCATCCACTGGAAACGGTGGGTAAATTGATGAAGGCCCCAGAGGAAAACGAGCCCATCTTCCCCTTTCTGTTTTGCAATGAAAGACTTTCCCTCCACTGTGTTTTTGTCTTAAGCTGGGGAGGGAGCTAGCGCAGACCTTAGCTCCCTTTCTGTGAAGCTGGAGAGCAGGAGAGATCAAAACACGAAATAACAAGATGCCCTGCCAGCCGCTCTTCCTTTATGGTCCGGGCGCTGGGCCCAAAGGCCCCAGGGCATCCTCAGACGGCCCAGACCTGCAGCATAGGGGCCCTGGAGGTGCTGGACCGCCCTGGGCAGGTCCTAGGGCATCTTTGGGTGGGAGCCCTTGAGGGGCTTTGGTTTCTCCACCCAATACCTTGCCAGCGCTCACGGGGCCACAGACCCATCTCCTCAGTGACAAGCAGCCTCGTGGCCTGGTGGGCCCCAATGAAGAAGGTGCTGGCGGGGGAGGTGTCCACCCAGGAGCTCCAGGCCGCCTTCCGGAGTCAGCTCAGGAAAAGGTAAACACGGCCATTTGTCACTGGCCGATCACAGGAACTGCAGCAGCAGCTGTTCCCTTAATTAAAACACCATTGACTTTGAGCCTCAAAAAAAGCCCTTTGTTGAGGCAGGTGTGTGGACTCAGATCCATTATCCTGTCATCGCCCCAGAGGGAAGGGCAGGGAGTGGTGGTGCCGAGCCGGCCCAGCTCTTCAAAACAGCCCTCTCCACCCGGTGCCAGAGAACACTCTAGAGACAGAGGGTCTGGCGAGGGTCCCACCATCACCAGGGGACAGGCAGAGGGCTGGGTGGGGCATTGCCGCCCGGGGCTGCAGGGGCAGCGTGCGGTGGGCCCAGTGTCCTCAGGACCCGCTCTGCCTTTTCTGGCTGGAGCTCGGGCGAATTGCTTTATCCCGACAGCAGGGAAAGTTATTAAGAAATAAATTATTAAAATTAGCCCAGAGAAGGTAAGTGTCCCCTGAGGGGCAGGAGGCACATACAGTAGGCACACGTGCTAGTAAGGCACACGTGACAGCATTATGGCACACACAGTAAGTTACACATAGCCCCTGAAGCCTCACAACCACCGCACGTGTGGGTGTGTTGTTAATCCCTGTATAGGGGGAAACTGAGGCACAGGGAACTCAGGGAGGTGGGGCAGCCTGGGTTTAAACCCAGACAGCCCAGCTCCAGAGCCCATGTCCTCAGCCCTGCTCTCTTCCTTCCTCCAAAGAACAGAAGGGGAAGCCATGCTCAGATGTGCTGTGGCTTTGCTGGAACAGAATAAAACCACCTCGGTCCCGAGGAAGAGGCCTAGAGACCCCTCACCTGTCTCTGGTCTCCCCCCTCTGCCTAGGTCACGCCTTGCTGCCCTCACTCACGAGCCCCCACCTGCCTCTGAGCCTCGGCGCTTGCTGTTCCGCCCACTCCCCCCAGCTCCCGCCTCTCCAGACCACGTGCCTGTTGGAGGTGCAGCTCCCTGACCCGCACAGCCTCCAGGGCCCAGCCCTCCTTTCTCTCCTAACATTTCATCTAACAAGATGTGCTACATTTTCACTTCCTTGCTTGTACTTCCCCCTGCAGGCTACCAGCCTGTTTCCTGTCTCCCTCATGGGTCCCTGTCCCCCTGCCCCGGGCAGCGCTGGCCCCCTGGGAACCGGCTGGACTGCCCGAGATGGTGGAGCTCGCAGGCAGAGAAGCAGAGGGAACCGGCCTTCCAGGACCAGGTGTGGGTGTCCCCACGAGGGACACTGGAGGACCTGCCAGTCGCAGCATCCTGACAGCAGGCCCCTCCCCTCTGGCAGGCACAAACCAGACACGCCCAGGCCTCGTGCTGGCCGGGAAGCCCTCTGAAATGTGACCTCTGCAGCCCAGGTGAGGGAGAAAGGCAGGGAGGAGATTTCACAAGAAGGATGGGGGTTTCTTCCTGCCAAAAGTGGGGGGCAGGCCATGGCAGAGGCCCTGTGAAGTGATCCTTTCAACCTCACAGGGGTGTGTGAGCATGGCATGGGGAGCAGTGCCGGAGCCGGAGGAGCTGCGGGCTCGGAGAAGGAAGGGCAGAGAGGCATCCCTGGGGATTACAGCCCAATTTCCACTCGGCTTCTGTTTGCTGAGGAGACAGGGGAAAGTACAGTAATTTTCTTCAATGAAAACAGGCAACAGAATTCCCTTTGCCGCGTTCTCTTTGCAATTAAGCCCTTCTCTGCAAATGAAGTGATTTGGATTTCATGGGGACTAATTTAAGCACAGTGGAAGGGCCGCTGAACTTTCTGATTGCACACACCAGCGTGTGCAAACCCCCCACGCAGCAGAGCCAGGCTAGGAGGTGGCCCTGCGTGGGGCGGCCCCAGGGGCGGGCTGAGGAGCCGCGGGTGGGAGTCCGCCTGGGCCCCCAAGTCCATCTGTGGACTCTCTCTCTTCCCCGCACGAGCCTCCACCCCAGCCTCCCGCGTGTGGAGGTGGGCCTGGCCCTGGGCAGATCCACAGCCCTCTGACACCCTTGGCGCCTCCTGAGCTAGTGGTGGCACGCTGTCTGCCCTCCTGCCGTCCAGGCCCTCTCCGCTGAAGGGCCGCCCGTGACTGCTTTGACCAATGGAAGGTGGCCAGTTCGGAACCAGGGTCTTGGAGGCCTTGTCACTTCCACTCTCACCCCTTGGGCCCGGGCCCACCAAGGAAAGAGGAAACAGCTGCCCAGCTGCCTTGTGGGGAGACGGACGCCTGCCAGCCCCCAGCTGTGCCCACATCCCAGCGGGCACACCACTGTCCCCGCCCAGCCCGGCCCAAATGGCAGAATCATGATTCACACAACACACGGTTGTTGTGTTAAGCCAATAAGTCCGTATTGTTATTAAAATTTTAATTTGAAATAGTTTACAACTCACAGAAGATGCAAAGCAGTGGGGATTTCTCGTGTACCCTTCACCCAGCTCCCCGCAATGACGACATCCCACGTAAGCACAGCATAGTGCAGTGATGGCGAACCTTTTGAGCTCGGCGTGTCAGCATTTTGAAAAACCCTAACTTAACTCTGGTGCCATGTCACATAGAGAAATTTTTTGATATTTGCAACCATAGTAAAACAAAGACTTATATTTTTGATATTTATTTTATATATTTAAATGCCATTTAACAAAGAAATATCAACAACAAAAAATGAGTTCGCGTGTCACCTCTGACACGCGTGTCATAGGTTTGCCATCACTGGATAGTATCAAAACCCGGAACCCTCACAACATTATTAACTCAGGCACAGACGTTATTGAGTCTTTATCAATTTTAGTGCACTTCCTGGTGTGTGTGTGTGTGTGTGTGTCTCTGTGTGTGTGT